GTTATGCAAACATTATTATCATCTTTATCATCACAGCTATCATCATCACCATCATTGTATCAAGACCTCCCCACCCACGTATGTATCAACTCAGCTACACCCAACGATGAAATGAAAAACATTTTTTTTTTACTTGAAATTGTTGAACTTGATCCAAGAAAATGGAAACTACGGCGCTAACGTTGCATTCCACAAAAATTAATTTACAGAATTCCAGTAATTAGGATCAAGCGTAATGAGCCGTATAAAAACATGTCCAAATTGGTGAGTGGTTTTGTTTTAATTACGGTTGCCCGGGGTTTGGAGAGGGGGGGGGGAGATAATTAGTCACGTGATATAAGAGCTATTATTATCACGTGGTTTATTATCTGCTCATGTGACGATGAGATTTAATGATACCTGACGCGTGCTATTATAAGCACATTGACATGCACATACAGGCATGTTCACACACATACATTCTCATTCGAATACACATACTCGCACACACATTCACACGCTATCTCACACTTAAACACGTGTGCATGTTTTCACCACACAAAAAACACATATGGAGACATTTTCCTTTAAGCAAATGACGTCTTCAGTTATTTGAATGACTGTTCTTGTTAGGATGAAGTCTCTGTCAGTCTAGTACAGGACACTGTCTGTCTATGACAGGTAACTGTCAATCTAGCACAGGTCACTGTCAGTCAATGGCCAGATTTATCATGCAATCTAAATGACCAACTCAGTCTAGATGACCCATCGCAAAGTCGATCGGTGTTAATCCACGTTTTTAAATCCGCAAAACTAATTTAAGTTCCCTTTTCGAACCTAACGACCCATCGGGTAAGTGATGTAGAATTTCCTGTTTCTGTGTCCGCGGCGTATGAAGGGATAGTGCGGTTCAGCACTTTGCCCAGCCGCCGTTACTTTCAGAGCTGGGTCGAGTCAGTAACGTTCTAATGTTTTGAGACTTTCGGGCTAGCAGTCTACAGTCTACATCTAGGCCACACCGTCCCATTTATAAATACGTGCTGATGCGATAATTTTTACTTCTCAAAACAAGTTAGAAGTTTAATTCCAGGTGGGGTAAAACCACCCCCCATATCATGTAGGTGCCTCCACATCCTGAAGAACTAAGCATCACCAGCCTGGTACCTTCAGCGTCACGTGACCCTAGTTTTAACACGCACAAAATATGTCACATGCCTTTGAATTTACGACTAAAAATGATTTACACTTCACAAATTTTCTTCAAAAAAAAATTCGATCTCTGAACACACTGAAAAATTTGAAACTAATTTTTGTTGTGGCGTTAACCACGTGTGGAAGTGTGGTACCCGCCATAAATCAGCCGGATGTGACGTAGCCAAGTCTTAGTCGTCTCTCACGTGGTATTTAGCTGATCAATGCCCTGTCCAAACACTCCAGATTTAGCAGCAACTTCCGGTTTTTATGGGGCTCTAAATTACTGAAATTTTTAATGGAAGAGCTACAGTGCTTTTTGCGTGAGCTTGGATGTGTTTGTATGTTTGTTTGTTTATGTCTGTGTTTTTATTTGCGTGCGTGTGCCTGTATGTGTTTGTGTATGTGTGTTTTTGATTGTGAGTGCATGTATGTTTCTACACACACACACACACACACATATATATATATATATATATATATATATATATATATATATATATATATATATATATATATATATATATATATATATATGTGTGTGTGTGTGTGTGTGTGTATGTGTGTGTTTGCAAATGTATAATTATAGCCTATATATTTGTGTTCATATTTTTATTTCTGTATGTTTTAAATGTATATTTATGCGAGAGTATTTGTGCTTATTGTTGGTTGTGTGTGTATGTGTGTGTTTGTGTGTTTGAATTTTGTATTTATTTGTATGTATGTTGTATGTTTAGTGTGCACATCAGCAACCAAACGCATATTGCAATGATTCAAAACTCACGAAAAATGAATGATACACACACACATCTACAAGGACACCAAGATATAAAAAACATAACGAAAGCATATAATAAAAGATATCCTTGTCCTGATTTCGGTATTTATAAAAAAATTCATAACAATTGCACTAAACGATTCACACGTGCCAGCTGGTCATGTGCAAACGTGCTTTTGACAACGTAACTTCCGGTATATCTTGTGTTATTCACGTCTAAGACATAACAAACGTGTTTAGAGTCTAGAACATTCCCAGCTGTTCAACATGTGTTCATCTGGTAGCATCAAACACAATTTTTTTATTTTCAGTTTCATGCGAAATTTTATCGGTGTTGGTTTTTTCCATTGTTATTTAGCAGATTTTTAGATACAATAAGTTTTTTTTTTTTACTTTAACACCAAAACATATTGATTTCTGTTTATGTTGTGCTAGCATATGTTGGGTATTGTATTTTATATTTCTATACCATTACATATACACACGCACAAGTAACTCTAGTTCACTCTTGAATTGTGTTATTCTGCTGTTGGTTGTGACAATGTTACAAGTATGTATATGAAGGATTTTCTCACAATTACAGTATTAATGATGATGTAATGATGTCACAACTACATTATTAATTATGATGTAATGATGTCAGAAATATGTTATGTTAGAGAATGTAATGATATCACAAGTACATTATTACTGAAGATGTAATGCTGTTTCATCTACAGTATTAATAATGATGTAATGATGTTACAGCTACATTATTAACGATCATGTAATGATGTCCCTACTACATTATGTGGGAGGATGATGTCACTACTACATTATTATGGATGATGTTATGATGTCACTACTACATTTTGTAGGAGGGGGATGTCAGTACTACATTATGCTGGGGGATGGGATGGGGGACGTGGGAGTCGGGCAACGATTGGAGTATTTAATGAGCAGCGGTTGAATCTATGAGGGTAGGGGGTGTGGGAGGGGTGGGGTGGGGATGAGTGGATAGAGAAGAAAGATGGATGGGGTGTGGGGAGCGGAATTGGGATGAAGGGGTGGGGGTAGGAAGTAGTGTGGCAGAGTGGTATTGTTAACGTGAGTGGTGTGATATAGTTGGACCCTTGCACTGTTATAGTGATGGACTGTTAGACTGTTAGTCTATTGGACAGTTGGACTGTTAGACTGTAAAACCTTTGTACTGTTGGACCGTCGTAGTGTTTGATTGTTGGACTGGTGAGCATTTGGACTGTCGAGTGTTATGTAGTTTGAATGTTTGATTTTTGGAATTTTGGACTGTTAGGTCGTTGGGGGGTTGGACGGCTGGACGGTCGGACTATTGTCATACAGCTGTTCTGTTTGCTAGTGTGGATGTCACCTATATTTACCTTGATCTAGCCGGCAAATACCATATACCAGAGAGAGAGAGAGAGAGAGAGAGAGAGAGAGAGAGAGAGAGAGAGAGAGAGCACCCCATGCGAATGGCTATCTCTGTCTCTGTCAATGATCAGATCACTGAGTAAGTCATAGATATACCCGCACTTCCTGTGTGGATCGGCCGACTAACTCAATGATAATTGCTCCGACTCTATAAATAGAATAACAAAAGGAAGGAAACGAAATTTTAAACTGATTTCCGCCATTACAAAAATAACATGAAACCTACAGTTCACGACACATCGCATAGGAATTTAAAATAAATATTAGGCCTATAGGTTTAATACATATTGCATAGAATATAGAAATTTAGATCTAGTGTTCTTTTATGTTTACTAGGATATAGTCTAGATTCTAGAATCTAATCATACGGCTGCATAAAAAGAAAACCCATCTAGATTCTAGATCTACTCTAGAGAAGCGGAGGTAAGAAGGTTAAATTAGTAATTTACATGATTTTTATTGTAGTTTCACTGTTTGTTAGGCCCAATTATTAAATCTTTAGATCAGAGGTCCAGCTTGATCATGTGTGGTATCTATTGTGGTGCATTGGAATGAAAAGCCCACATACTTAAATATAGAATCTAGTTAAGTAGGCCTATACTATAACTGTACTGCCCTATACTTTACCACAAGAAAAAAGCCTATTTACTATTATTAGTTATAATTAAATTAAATTGAAATATTTGTTTATCTGTATAGTTTATAGTGAATGCATGCTAATGAGCATTATTCAAGCTGCTGTTATATTTAAGCTTATTATAGGCCTATATAGTAGTATATACTCTATAGCTTAGGCTATAGGCCTATACTATAGACTATATATTATATACCAATATTGTGCATAAAATTTAAAGCATGTAAGCATACACAATAATAATTATCATTAGACTTATAGTAACTAAGACTCGTACTATTTAGTACTACTTTAATACTACCTTTAAACTATTAGGCATAATGAAATAATGATTAATGATTTCAGTGTTTTCCGCACTCGAGAGGAATGAGGTTGCAGGGAACTTAGAGACTAATCTTTGCCAACATATTGGATTTCTGGTGATGACAATAGGAGCAGATAGTATGCGGCTCAGTTAATACTAAAAACAATTGATTTTAGTAATTAGAGGTAAACTCTTTTTTAAAATAATATATTATAACATGGTATCGCAAAGGTTCAGGTTGTCCAACAAATGGTAATTAGAGTCAGGTTTAGGACTATAGTTTAATGCTTGGTTAGTAATATGCATCACGTTGGGAAAGACATAGAAATGGAAATACATAGAATTTATTGTGTTCATTCGCAAACGTTACTACTTAAATTTTTTTAGGCCTGCTATTTATTGCTGAATAATAAAATCACTATACTTATCCACTATATTATGTTTAAATAAAGTGAGTTTAGATCAGTCGAGTAAATAAAATTTAATAGCAAGATATAACTAAAATTTACAATATATATATATATATATATATATATATATATATATATATATATATATATATATATATATATATATATATATATATATATATATATATATATATGGCTATTTTATAAAAGTATGTAAATCACAGAACAAACATTATTTTGTATTGTGTCTACAACTTAACAAAAATGCTACTACTTTGATGGATTGCACTAAATAGGGGTTAGCTTTAATTTAATAATTTGTGAGATATTCTTGCTAATCTATGTGTAAATTGCTTTTCAGGACTATGAGTGTGTGTTTGGCCATCCAGATTTCATAACTACAACTGATGTTCAATTACAAGGGATATTAATCAGTCTCCGTGGACTATACACTGTGCCTAGTTTCATCCTCAGGTAACTGTACTATAGGCATAACCCATTTTTTAAAGTAATTATTATAGCAAGAGATAGCATTATATGTTACAATAAATATAATGGATTTTAATCCAAAATATTTTATTAATTATTGTCTTTTCTTAAATTCTAATGAATCAGTGAGTTGTACAACATAGAGGGTATAATATTTGAATGATAATTGAAACACATATTGTTATAGAGCTCAAAACTATGTACTTATCTAATATAATTAACAGTTATAATGAAACAGTTTTATCGAAGCATATTATTTCATATTTTACCACACAGAGACTGATGTGTAAGCTTAAAGTAAAGACATCAAAGTATCAGCTATCAAGAGGGTAAATATTGATAGTCTACTTCATTAATCTTCAATATGAATGAACACAATTTTAAATCTATAATCTTTGCTGATAATGTTTGTTTCTTGTTATTCATCATGTTCAGTGCTTTATCTTTTCAAAGTAATTAGTTATAGTAAAGAAATAGTAGAGATAGTAATATAAATTTGTAATGTATTTCTCTTGCTAGTTCCACAAAAGAATATTTCAAAATATTTTGTCTTTATTTCATTTACAGAAGAACATTCAAAATCATATTGTGATACACAAATCAAGCAAGTCTATGACCAGCATTATGATACAGGCCAAGAAAAAGCTGGATATTTGATTGGAAGGGTGGCACAAAAAAGATGGGTTATCACTAGGGAAACAAGCTCGGAATACAGTTCACTGTTGGGACATCAAATACTTCTAAACTTATTTGAATCATTTTTGCTGTTTATTATAATTCATCGAATTGTCTTATTAAATATATACATTTATATATATACACAATTCCTAATATAGAATTTCTAAAAATGTTTTATTATATTTAAAAAATGAAACAAACATGTTCCCAGAACACAGCCACATAATGTCAACATGTTCCCAGAACACAGCCACATAATGTTGACATGTTCCCAGAACACAGCCACATAATGTCAACATGTTCCCAGAACACACAAAATGGCAACATGTTCCCAGAACACACAAAATGGCAACATGTTCCCAGAACACAGCCAAATAATGGCATCATATTCCCAGAACACAGCCAAATAATGTCAACATGTTCCATGAACTCACAAAATGGCAACATGTTCCCAGAACACACAAAATGTCATTATGTACCCAGAACACACAAAATGGCAACATGTTCCCAGAACACACAAAATGGCAACATGTGCCGAGAACACAAAAAATGACAACATGTGCCGTTAACAATACTTCACTTTTTCCTTAACAATTTTACAAGCAGGTAATAAAGCCATAAATCTTTACTGTGGATATAGCCAATAAATAGGGTAACCTTCACTATATGCAATTTGTAGTTTTCAATGCCTGTCCCATGCATATTATTTAGCCTAGTGTTTTGGGCCTTGCTTCATTTACTCAATAAATTATACAGGCATGAGAATTTTCATTATAATCTGCAAAAGCTACATTCTGTACATTATTATTTTCAAACTACATCATATATTTTTCTTTTCTCTGATAAAAAATATTCCTCATATTGTTTGTGTCAAGGATTTTATTTTTATCTATGCAATGCTATATTCCTATTTTATAATAATTACTTTTATACAAATTCTTTTGAAAACTGTTCTTTATTGATTTGTATTATTTTCTTTATTTCTGAAAAATAAAACTTTGTTTGGGAATCTTTTTTTTTGTTTCTGTACAAATTAATAAACATGAATACCTACCAGGCTTAATATCCAGCAACATTAAACAATTAAGTAGGGCCTATTGTTAGTAATGGTAAATTTTATACTAATTAATCTGATTTCTCCTGGCCACCTTGTTCTGAATACCTTCAACTGTGTCAATGTTGCTACCAACTCCAATAATTAAAACTGAAGTCATTTACTATGAAGTAAAACTTGGGTGTAATCCAAATCCACCCAGTTGCCGGGGGCAAGGTACCAAACATGATGTCCAGTAGAGGGTTAAGAAAGTATCAGTATTAAATCACTATTAAACCCCTCCTCGCCTACGCCATTGCTTGTACGCATATGGGCGTTATCGGAATTTACTGTATTGCTTATAAGTCGAAAATGCGAAAAAGACACGTTTAACATTACTAGTTTGAAGAATAACATTCATGTTAGCCGAAACAGGTGTATTCTAAAGTTGTTTAAATTCATATTATTGTTCATTACGAGTATGTTGTCGTAAAATATAGGCCTATTTAAAAAAGCATAACTAAAAAGTGTTTTAACGCATTTTCTTCTTAGAAAAGCCTTACATGCATGATATCAATAACATTACGGCAAATCTAACCCTTGAAGAAGCCCCATCAACCATTCAATTATTACGATGGGCAACAAATAAAACGCCCGCATCAAGGTACAGTCCTTATGCTATCGACATTAGCTCAACCCCGGCAACTAACGTGTCCCAAAACCAAGAATTGAAATCTTGACCCATTATTCTGATTAATTAGTGGTTAAACATCTTTAGGCATCTGAAAACGTTAGTTTTTAATCTAGTGTACTAAAAAAGGAACAACATAAAGCTTTATGCCGCCTTAAAAACCCAAATCCCATGTTACGCAAGGCGTCGATAGAGAAAGAATAAGGCTTTGAGTCAGAACAGGCAAAGGCTTAGATAACTGCCAAAATACCTAATCTGTAGACCTCACAAGTCTAGACGATATATTTGTGCCTCTGTTTTTAGACTTTCAGAACAAATGCATGTGATGTGGTCAGTAGGCACATAAAAGAGAAAAGTAGCAGGAAGCAGAGGTGTAGCAACCTATTCCGGCGCCCGGGGCGAACTATCAATGTTGTGCCAACCCTATTCAAACGCTGGCAAAAAGGCGCCCATCCCTACCTACACTCCCCTATATAAAATAATTGAGGATATCAGTCATGTATAAATCTGTTTTCTTAAATTTTACTGAAGAATGAGGATTTTTAAAAAATTGTCTACACCTTTTGGCGCCCCATTCGATCTGCGGTCTCTGACAGGAAGCAATGCAATTTTTCTCCATAAAAATAAAAGCCAGATGCAATTTGACACTGTTCGTACGAAAGTCATAAAATTTTGGGGAGTTGGTGAAAAGGGTTTCGAGAAAGAAAAAAATTCTTAAGTGTGGCACCCTGGGAGGGTTCGATTTTTCTCATTATACGATTATGAGCCCAGAATCCAGAGGGGAATCCAGAGGGGCTATCTCATCAATTGCGGTCTTAGGTAATACTAGATTCAGCAGAGGCGTAGAGGGGGCGGGGGGTACATATGTCCCCGGGCGCCAACCCTAGGGGCGCCAAAATGGGTGGGAAAAATTTAAAGCTCATTTTAGCTACAGTTTTGCATTATAAATATTTAAAAAATACGGGGGGGGGGGGGGGGGGACGCCAAATTGAAAGTTTGTCTCCAGCGGGAGGGGGGGGGGGGCGCCAAATTGAAAATTTGTCCCCAGGCGCCAGGAATGGTGCTACGCCTCTGAGATTCAGTGATAAAACTACACCAGGTTCATCCGCCAGCTCCCCGGCGGTTGAGTGGCCCAGAGCGGCCAAGACCCACCTCGGGCGACACTATGGTTTAGATGGGCTACTATGAATGTTCACTAAGTAGAATAATGAGCGCCCGCCGGCGCCCTGGCAGTTGGCGACAGCGAGCGCCCCGGGCTCTACAGAGAGTGCCTCTTTAAAGAGCACCCTACAATAGGGACACGGTGGCACACGATATTTTATAATTAAACCGAATTAGGGGCGCCCCTGCGGGAGTATAACCAGTGGCTCCCTGGAGCGCCAAGGGACGCGTCTCTAACACATGGGCGGTCGCAATGTGTGCTCTACCTCACTATTACAGAGGTTGATTAACGTACACTCAAGGCTTTCATACAGTGAGCCTTGATGCGTCTAGGCGGCAGTGTGGACAAACCCGCGCCCCAAAAACGAATATGTGGGTTTGTTTGTTTAAGCATTACCAAATATTTCATTCGTTTGTCATTCAAATTTGAGAAGTTAATGCTAATACCCCTGTGGTGGTTTCTGCGGAAAAAAAATCGATTTGGTGGCGCCCTGGCAGGGTTCCATTTAGCTCCCCGGGTTTTCCCGTTAGTATTATGGTACCTTTGTTCGTTTTAATAATTGCGAAACGCTATGAATATGATGGGCTACTATAATCGCTCACTATACCGAGTGAGGCGCCTTCCTACCTAGGCCCACCTACCTACATACCTAACTCCCTGCCTACGTACCTACCTATCTACTAACCTGCCTGCGCTGCTGCCTGCCTACCTACTTTCCTACCTACCGTTATTCCTGCCAAACTGCTTTCCTTCCACCCCACCTGTCTACCCACCTCACATCCTACTTACACACACACATATCTTCGTATGTATATATGTATGTGTTAGTGTGCTCCAGGACTATGTATTTTTACATTTTTGTTGTTACGTAGAACTATTCAGTATAAAGGAGTTTCCTTTTTTTTTTTTTGACGTTGTAACTGCCGCTAAAATATTCTTTTTTGTATGTGTGCATAAAATAGTGTAGGTTTATTAACAAAAGTAAATTTTAGTATGTATTTAAGTGTATATAATCATTTTCGTCAAGCCAATGTGTTCATAATCTTAAATTTAAAAACCCATGAAACTCGATAGCCAAAGATTTAGAATGAGAATAATTGCTATTTAACCAGAAATACCTATTCTAATTATTGTTATTATATTTTTTTAAAATAAATATACACAGAGGTAGATTGTTTTCTTATATAATTAATTTAAAAAGTCAACTGTATTTCATAACGAAAATTAACACAAAATACATTCGAATAGAAACTGTCAAGGGAGACTACTCTAATATTTGTAGGAATAATAGTTTTTATTTAGAGTTTTTTTTTATTACTAGAAGAAAAGTTAATCATGTAGGTTCTATAAAAGATTACCTTGCATTTAAAAAAAAAAGATATTCGATAGGTTTAGAATTAGAAATAGTCAAAATTATTTATTATATTCATTAGGCCTAGTTGTTTTTTTAATAATAAGGTACAAAGACCTGTTTTAATTATTTTTTAAAAATCTTATTTTAATTAATAAATTATAAATGAAGATCGAGGATCTATATTTTTAAAAAATAGTTTAACTGGCCCTAAACAATTGTTTCAATCGCTGAAAAATTAAGAATTAATAATTACGTTTAACGCTTTATTAATTAAACGAGTTGAATTATTTCCGCTTTGATAAACTCTCTCTCTCTTTATAACTACTAACGCTTTATCATTGAGTTTCTTAAGAGAAAAATACAGGAGAGCGGTAGTTATCATTGACTCTGTCATTGATAATTTCATTGAGTCTTTCATAGAAAATAGTGTTTGATCGGCTGGAGAGAGAGAGAGAGAGAGAGGGAGAACAAAAACCCTCCGTACACCACTACTAGTTGTGACGTTATGTTCTGATCGTTTATTATTACCGTGATGTGTAACAAATTCTATGTATCTATCCTTCCCACTCTCGCTGTATTTCTGTATATTGTATGTATATGTGGCAGGCAACATCTGATACTTCCATTGTCAGCTATCTCTCGTCTATAAATACCTACATCACTGACATTTTATTACAAGTCATGGATAGTTTGCCAGCAATGTATTAATATTTGATAAGCTTAGCTTTTTTTTTTTAGGAAAAAAGTAGTCCGCGGCATGATTTTGTTATTCATCCGCCATTCATCCCTAAGCACCCCCAACTGGA